GAAGGTCAACGAGGTGACGATACGAGACGTGGGCTCCGTGCCACACGCCGATTTACTGGCAGAAGGCGCCGCAGGTAGGTCGATTTATTCGGTCTATGATCTGTTCTCATGTTATGATGAGGTACCGCTTGACCCTAGGGACAGGCACCTCACGGCTATGCATACGCCATTGGGACTAATACAAATGATGGTTGTTTCTATGGGTTGGACTAATGGGGTAGCCGTTTTTCAGAGAGCCATGGTAGCCGTCCTCAAGGACTTCATCCCTGATAAGGTTGAAGTTTTTCTGGATGACTTTCCTATAAAAGGGTCAGTACACAGGGATGAGACAGAGGTTGTACCTGGAGTTAGAAAATTCGTCGAGCAGCACCTAACAGATATTTGCGCGGTACTTGAGCACCTGAACGATGGGAATTTAACATTAAGCGGAACAAAGAGCCGATGGGCCGTCTCGACTATTAAGATCTCGGGCTTTATCTGTGACTCGAGAGGACGCCGAGCAGATCCGGCGAAGTTAGACAAACTTCTGAACTGACCGTCACCGTTACATAGCCCAACCGAGGTCCGACAGTTTCTAGGAGTGGTCSGTTACTGGCGTATATTCATACGGGGGTATGCGGAGAAGGCTGAGCCATTGAGGTTACTCCTTCGAAAGACTGAAAAATTCTACTGGGATTCTTCGCAGGAACTTGCTATGCAAGAACTTAAAGACGAATTGAAGAAGGGAGGACGCATGTTGGGCGTGCCGTTCTTTGACGATGAGACCGAGAGACCGTTCATAGTATCCACGGATGCTAGACTATGTTCAGTAGGTGGTTTGCTGTCTCGGAAGGACGCTGGAGGGAAGGAAAGACCGTTAAGATTTGAGAGTAGGACACTTAATACGGCTGAGCGTAACTACAGTCAATTCAAGAAGGAAGTGTTAGCTGTTCTCCGGTGTCTAGACACGTTCAGACACTATATCTATGGGCGACGGTTCATCTTGAGAGTAGACCCCACCGCGGTTGCCTCTGTCCTCCAGAAGGACTTTAGTCTGACGGATCCGACCATCGCCCGATGGTTAATACGGATTCGGCTATACGATTACACGGTTGAGAGGATATCTGGCACTAAAAATGCCGTGGCAGATGGACTTTCGCGCATCCCTCTTGAGGCCGAGCGCCCGATAGTAGTTGGGGCCCTAAGTATGGCGGAGCCAGGACCCACCGAGCGTTTTCTGGTTAACCTTTACGAGGGCAAATACCGAATGATCGGGCTACATTTGTCAGGAAAGGAGAGTCAAGAATCAGATATCCGGAGACAAGCGGCCCAGTACTGCCTTAGAGCTGACCATCTGTTTCGAAGGCCGAAAGGCTCGGGGATGCCCTTACGAGTAGTCTCTGACTCTGAGGAGAGACAGACAATAGTTGCGGAGCTTCACGACGGGGTAGTCGGAGGACAAATGGGAGGCAAAGGAACCTACGAAAAGGTACACAGGTTGTACTGGTGGGAAGGACATTATGAGGACGTCGAGAGAGATTGTAGGACCTCCGAAGAGTGCCAGAAGAGAGCTCTTGTGAAATACAAAGAGCTACTTCATCCATCCTATCCGACCAGACCAGGAAAGAAGGTACACATCGATCTAGTGAAAATGYCGAAAGGGGTAGGCAATATGAACTACGTCGTGAACATACGAGACGATTTCACTGGGTTCGTGGACGGTAGACCTATCAGGAGTAAGGCGGCAAAGGAAGTAAAAAACTTTTTCCTAGAGTACTTATCTAGGTATGGTTGTGTCAGCAAGATAGTAATGGACAGAGGGGCGAAATTCCTAGCCGACGAGGTTCAGAGCGTGTTCAGGAGAGCCGGGGCGAGAGTTTCGATAGTCACCGCCTATCATCCACAGTCGAACTTCCCAGTAGAGAGGGGACACCAGACTCTGATAGCGTCACTGTCCAAGTGGTGCAAGGGTAAGGACATTGATTGGCCACGATATTTTCAATACGCAATATGGACGGACAACGTCACGGTCCGGCGACATTGTCCGCTTCCCATAGAGTTTCACGTCGACAGCTGGACAACCGTCGACAGGGCGGAGGAGATGTCCAGAGAGGAACTCTTAGCTGCCCGAACAAGACAGATAGCCTACGGTTTGAAAGATAACCTCATGACAGCGGCAAATCGTCTAGCAGTGGAAAGGGGCAAGGGTAAAGAGAGATGGGATAAGAACGTGCGAATCAGGAAAGAGAGGGTGAGCGTAGGAGATATGGTCCTTCTCTACGACGCGGCACTGGAGAGGACCTAGACCGGAAAACTCGCAAATAGATGGATGGGACCTTACAGAGTCGTTGAAGCACTCGACTGGGGTGCATATATGATAGCAGAATTGGATGGATCTAAGTGGAAGGACCAAGTGGCGGGCGCTAGGTTAAAGCTGTTTAGGCCCAGGCCCACGCCCGGCTTATCACTGACCATTCCGAAAGGGAAAGGAAAAGCCATAATGGAGGAAGGAGCCCCCTTGGGGCAATTCGAGGCAGGGGAGAGTTCCAATAAAAGGAAAATAATAGAGAAGAGAAAGGTCAAAGGGTTAGCTTTAGGAAGAGAGAAGAGATGGTTATTCGTGCTCAAGCGAGCTAGACGGAGAGTTCGCGTTAGACGTACTGGCGGGTCGACACCCTTCTCGAGGGAAAGACAAAAGAAAAAGAGGATCGTGCCGGGGCCAAAAACGAGAAGAAACAGGAGAGTCAAGAAGCAT